GCTCCACAGGAGCAGAGATAAGCAGAGATCAGGTTCAGGAACGGTAACATATTCACGTGGCTCAACATAGCTTCCATATTGCCTAACAAAGACCTCGAAGTCACTATTTAACGGACGTGTCTGCGAGATAGGGACTTGAACGCAAAACATGGCCCAACGAGGGCTCAAAAGGGACTGGAATAAAGTAAAGAGATTGTCTAACATAGCCCTAGAAGTCACTATCTAAAGGACGTGTCTGCGAGATAGGGACTTGAACGTCGTAAACATAGCCCAACGAGGGCTCAAAAGGGACTGGAATAAAGCCCCCCCCCAACGTGACCGAACATAGCTTTCATATTGCTTAACATATCTTTAGAAGTCACTATCTAAAGGACGTGTCCGCGAGATAGGGACTTGAATGTCCGGATATTTGGCTCCACAGGAGCAGAGATAAGCAGAGATCAGATCCAGGAACGGTAACATTTTCACGTGGCTCAACATAGCTTTCCATATTGCCTAACACAGCCCTCGAAGTCACTATCTAACGGACGTGTCTGCGAGATAGGGACTTGGCTATGTTAGGCAATATGGAAGCTATGTTCGGCCACGTTGGGGGGGGGTGACTTCTGGGGCTATGTTCAATGGAAGTACCTACCTTGACCCGTTCCTGGAGCATGACTGCAGTCTTTGAGCCCTCCCATGCGGTGCGGGCGGTTACCGTCGCGAAGCGACGTGAATAGAATCATGCGATTAGAGTGCTATGTTTCGAAACAGCACCCCCAAAAAAAGAATAAGAACGCAATGAGACGCAATGCATTAAATTTATTAAGAAGAAAACAGAAAACACGGAAGTGGCCTTTGTCCACCAAAGCAAATCCAAGGTGCGCTCCCAGCAGCGAGCACGTTCCGAAGCACCCAGCGTGGCTTGCAGCATGGGAGCACTGGCCACAAACACGAACAAACGAAAGGGCTGGGTTCTTTCTCATGGGCACGGTGCAGTAGAAATGGTTCTGATGCCTTACATTGCCTTGCAATCTTGAAAAAGGTCGCCTTGAAGCATCTTGCTGAGAATCTTGAGATGCAGCCGTACCTCAACGAGCCACTGAGGGAACATGCTTTTGTGGTCAGGCCTCACAAGCTAAAGGCCTGCAACACCATGTGCTTGAACCAGTTGCAATGCTTGCTCCCATCTAGCAAAGCCCTGGCATCGACCCGATGGCACTGGCGTTTGCACGGATTGTCTACCGGCTCTACCGTGTGTCATTGGCAAGTCGGCAAATCAGGAGTCCTTGAGCTTGTGATTGGACAAGTGTACAGTATTCTAATAAACAATGACTGATTTTAAAACAAAAAGCAAAACAAATATTTTAACATGAGATCTATATATATACCCATCAATATCCATATATATGTATACATTTGTATGTAAATGTGTGTGCATATGTTTGCTTGAGCGGTTTGGGATCCAGGACGGTACCAGCACGCCAGCTGCCACTCCAGTCCAGCTGCCGACAAACTCCTACTTCTGCTACACTATGGTTATCTTGGCAAGAAGGAAGTGTTGCGATAGCTTGGGCATTGTCAGTGTGTGGAACGGGCACAATGTAAATCGCAGTGGTTGCCCATGTTGAGGAACAGACTAACCGGCCATGGCACGCTACATCACTAGTGTGCACGCCTCAATTTCCAACTAGCACGTTGTGCCTGACTTCGCGGACCAGCTGAGTGCCTGGAGGATAGCTGATAGCGAGGCCAGTGTGAAGAGATCGACTCCCAGCTCACTGCCTGTGAAGCTCAGTTTTTGTGCCAGCCAGCCAGCCAGCGAAGCCAAACCAGCCACTGCCACACCCCCGGGGCCTGTCTCGAACGTCCTGAGCTGCTTCAAAGAAATGTCTACCCAGAATGCTCTTTTGATTGTTCTCTATTAAGTTTGTTCTTGCCTTCCCTTCTCATTTCTCCTCCAGCATTTTTATCTCCGACTTTATTTATAAAAATGTTTCATGTGGTAAGGCCTGAATCCTTGATTCAAGAAAATTCAAAAAAATTCAAAAAACAACAACTGGAAAAGTCAAAGCCAAAAAATGAGAGTCAAATTGAGACGTCAAAAAAATCGGAAAACATGAAAAAACAAATATACAAGCAGTTCCCGGGCAAGCCGGCGGCGGAAGTTTCCTATAAGAACAAATTGACCTATAGGAGTGTTCCGGTTCTCTCAAACACGCGCGTCCCCCAGTCAAACGCACGCGCTCCGGACTTCAACCTTCAGTACAAACTTACCTGTTGACAAAACAATCACCTGTAACCAGTGTTGGGTTATGATGAGTGGTGTATGATGAGTGATGTATGATGAGTCTTGTATGATGAGGGGTGTATGATGAGTGGTGTATGATGAGTGGTGTATGTTGAGTGGTGTATGATGAGTGGTGTATGATGAGTGGGCAGCGAGAGATGACTCAGCAATGAGAGATGACTCAGCAACCACAGATGACTCAGCAGCGAGAGACGACTCAGTCGCGAGAGATGACTCAGCAGCGAGAGATGACTCAGCAGTGAGAGATGACTCAGCAGGGAGATCTGACTCAGGAGCGAGATATGACTCAGCAGCGAGAAATAACTCAGCAGTGAGAGATGCCTGATGACTCAGCAGCGAGAGATGGCTCAGTCGCAGGAGATGACTCCTCCGCGTACTAAAGTTGTACTGCAACATGGCCAGTTCTCAGCTTCCAGCTCCACAGGTTGCTCCGCATACTAAAGTTGTACTACATAGTCGCCAGTTCTCAGCCTCGAGCTCCCCAGATACTCCGCGTACTAAAGTTGTACTACAAAGTGGCCAGTTCTCAGCTTCTAGCTGCACAGGTTGCTCCGCGTACTACAGTTGTACTACAAAGTCGCCAGTTCTCAGCCTCCAGCTCCCCAGTCACTCCGCGTACTAAAGTTGTACTACAAAGTCGCCAGTTCTCAGCGTCCACCTCCACAGGTTTCTCCGCGTACTAAAGTTGTACTACAACGTCGCCAGTTCTCAGCTTTCAGCTCTACAGATTGCTCCGCGTACTAAAGTTGCACTAGAAAGTCGCCAGTTCTCAGCTTCCAGCTCTACAGATTGCTCCGCGTACTAAAGTTGTACTACAAAGTC